CTCCGAGCCCTACACCCACCCCACGGGGCCCACCAGCCTTGGGTTGTACGTGGTTCTGCGGATTTTGTAGTCAGAAAGGCCCCAGAGCAAGTCTGCCTTTGCATGAACAGCTAAAAGACGCACGCACGGTATCGTGGCGTGTACACAAGTCACACTGTGTGACTAAGGCGGGGACACATTTCATGTGCAGGGACCTGGTACTGGCATTCCCCTGGAGGGTGACCCTGGTGCAGCTTGTAAAGGGCCCGTGACTTGGCAACCCCCAGCAAGTTCAGCCCTGGGGCGACATGCATGTCGTTAACAGTACGGAACAGGACACTTCAAATGGCTAAGATGGTAAATTTTATGCTACGTGCTTTTCACCACAATAAAAAATAAAAAACCATCCATTTCTTATCTCACAGTTTGTGTGGCTAGGAATCTGGGCCCAGCTCAGCCGGGTCCTCTGCTTCAGGCTCTCTCACGAGGCTGCACAGGGGCTGGGGTCTCATCTGAAGGCTGGGGAAAGGTCTTCCAAAATTGCATGACTGTTGGCAGGATTCAGTTCCTTGTGTGCCACTGGCCCGAGGGCCTCTGTCGTTCAATGGCTTGGGCCAGACGCTGCCCTCGGCCCCTTGCCATGCGGTCCTCTCCACATGTCGGCTCACTTCCTTAGAGTGTGCAAACCAGGAGGGCAATAGAGCGAGTCTACTAGTGAGATGGAAGTCAGAATTTTTTGTAATCTAACTACAGATGTGACATCACATCACTTTTGTCATGTCCTACTTGGTAGAATCAAGTAATCAGGTCCAGCCCACGTTCAGAGAGGGCTTTGCACAGGGTTTGCACAGCGGCTCACCCGGCAGACCTCCGTACCTCTGTCAACGGTACCACCCCGTTGCCTCACCCAGAGACCGAGATCCATCCTCAACACCTTCCTTCCCCCGTCTCCACATCCAGTCCATCCGCATGCTTCTCTGTCTCTCCAGCAAATGCATCCAGAGTTCCTGCTTATGGACCAGGCTGTGTTCCCAGCTTCTGGATCAGCAATAACCTGGACAGGCAGGCTCCCTGCCCTCCTCGTGCCCGCAGGCTTGTTGAGACAATAGTTTTAAACTTGTTTCCTTAGTTGTAAAGTTAATTTAAAATGGAATTGGATAAATGAGGACCAAGTGAACTAACATGAAGTAATATGCTTCAAGCAGTGTCTGGCACACAGTATATGCTCAACAAGTCCTAGCTGTGATTGTCGGAGAAAGTGAAAAAAGTTGTAAGTGAGAACAAAAGAGGAGGCTGTAGGAGAGGACAGCGTGGCCTCCTCTCCCTGGGTGGGCAGGGAAAGCTTCTCTGTGGAGCCACATTTTGCACGAAGCCAGAGGGATGAGAAGGAAGTAGCCAGGCAGGCATCCCGGGACGGAGCAGGTGGTGCAGAGGCAAAGGGGGCGCCAGTCTGGACTTTGGTGGTGGAGGTGGAGAGAGAGAAAAGAAGGCCCTTGCAGATCGATTTCAGAAGTAGACGTGATATGATTTGCTGGGGTGGGTGAAGCAAGGGGAAGGAAGGGACCAGAGGATGCTGTGTTTCTCACTCTAATTATCCTGTATCACCTACCACAGTGCTGAAGCCGGGACGCCACCGGTTTGGGGAAGTGGGGGGATTCCCAGTGGAGAGGCCCAACAGCCATTTCCCTTGGTGGCTTGAATCCACCCAGCCTCTCTCTCCCCACTGCCACCCCCGGTCCACGCGCCAGCCTGTCTCTCTGGGCTTCTGCAGTCGCCTCCGCCCTGGTTCCCTCCTGGTCCTCCCTCACTTTGCAGCTCCAGTGGCCTCACCTACATGAACCTTCTCCAGTCACTCCCTGGCTAGCAAATTGTTGCTTAGTCGAAGAGTTCAACAGATGCCTATTGGCGTATGGATTTATGAGTCGTTGGAGTCAGGAGGGGCCTCAGCCGTCCCTATTTCAGCTCCTCAGTCAGGTGGCCTTCCTGCTTCCACATTCCTCACCCCCTGCTCCGTCCTTGCCAGAGGCAGTACATGGTGTGTGGTGACGGGGTCCAGGCCTTTGGAGTCTAGTGGAACCTGCATCCAGTTCAGTTAAGTTACTTAAGTTCTGGGGACCCTAGACATTTTGTCTCTGGGAAGAGCAAAGTTTCCTGTTTAATTAGCGTGTTGGGGGTCTCCAGGACCACCCTCAGCTTCAGTGATTTGCTAGGAGGACTCATACAACTCAGAAAAAATGTTAAACTTGTGGTTACAGTTCATTATAGCAGAAGAATAGAGATTAAAATCAGCAAAGGAGGGACTTTGGAAGTGGCGCCATAGTGGTTAAGAATCCGCCTGTCAATGCAGGGGACACGGGTTCGAGCCCTGGTCCAGGAAGATCCCATGTGCGGCAGAGCAACTAAGCCTGTGCACCGCAACTACTGAGCCCCCCCGGTCCACACGCCAGCCTGTCTCTCTGGGCTTCTGCAGTCGCCCTGTTTCACTCCTGGTCCTCCCTCACTCTGCAGCTAGAGTGGCCTCACCCACACGAACCCACTCTGGTCACTCCCTGGCTAGCGAGTGGTCACTTAGTCGAAGAGTTCAGTAGATGCCTGTTGACGTATGGAGCACGCCTAGAGCCCATGCTCCGCAGCAAGAGAAGCCACTGCAGCAAGAAGCCTGTGCACCGCAATGAAAAGTAACCCCCACTCGCCGCAAGTAGAGAAAGCCCGCGCGCAGCGACGAAGACCCAATGCAGCCAGGAATAAATTAATTAATTAATTAATTTGTAAAATCAGCAAAGGAAAAAATGTACAGAGCAGGGTCCAGGAGTGACCAAGTGAGAGCGTCTGGCTGTCCTCACCCAGAGGAGACCTGCAGACAGCACTTAGTTTTCCCAGCGACCATGTGTGACAATGTGCACAAAATGTGGCCAACCAGGGAAGCTCATCTGAGCCTCAGAGTTCGGGGATTTTTTGGAGGGCCAGTCTCGTAGGCAGGGAGCAACCCCATGACTGACCACAGGTATTCGGTCTCTACTACCAACCCCCCAACCACGTCGAACTAAAACAGTGTGGCCCAAGGTCCCAGGCAAATAAAAATAAGCATTCACCATAAATCGCATTGTTAGCATTAGCTGTTTGGCGTGGCCCCAGACTCCAGGTGCACAAAGGCACTCTTACCAGGCGGGATATTCCAAGAGTCTATAGGTTAGCTCCCAGGAGCCAGTCAAGGGCAGTGCTTTCCATGGAATGTGCGGGGTTTGGGCTACCCAAGCCTGCTGAGTTATCCCTTTACTGCATACTTGATCTGAATACTTACCATGTGTACCAGCCAGGGTCCAGCCAGGAAAACTGAAACCACTGTAGGTATTTCGAACTGACAGAATTTAATACAAGGAGTTGGTCTCCCAGGTGACTGAAGAGCTGGGAAGCCATGCAGGAGGCAGGGAACCCAGAAACCAGCAGCAGCAACGGGGAGACCTCTGCTGCCCCAGGACAAGGGGTGGTGTTGCCTGAGCCCAGAGGCTGACTCAGGTGTGGGGCTGCCTGCTGGGCACTGGGGCACAGAGGGAGAGCTGTCGGCAGGTGCCAGCACGACAGAGGAGGGTCAGCTCCCACCCCACCCCCTGCCAGGGAGAAGGGGAGAAGAACCCTGGATTCTCCCTCCTCCTCCCTGCCCAGCCCCACTGGTATCTCCCATTGGCTGGACCCAGCTGTGAGCAAGGCGGGGGTTCCCCAGGAAATGACTCAGACACCATTTACTTAGGGCCTGTTCTAAGGTGCCTGACAATGTGCCAGCCATGGTCACCCACCCCACCCCACCCCACCCCATGTGGCCCTGCCCGAGAACTGCCCTGCAAGCAGATATCGCCTCTGCATTACAGGGATGAGGACGTTTAGGGACTCAGATAAAGAAAAACAAGTCTGTGAGGGAGATGGAGCCTGAGGGGTGGAGGAACGGAGATAGGGCTGCAGAGAAGGCACAGAGGGCTTCTGCAAAAACCTTCCAGGCCAGGAAGCCTCCCCTGTGGCACCCCCCCGAGCTGGCAGAGGTGGACGAGCGAGGTGCCCCTCCAGCACATTCCATACTCAGTTAACACAGCCAGGAATTTCCTCCTGCCTGAGCCTCATGTCCTTCCTCAGTCCAACTGTCCCCACCCAGGGGACACCTTCACAAGCTCTGTGACCAAGGACAAGCCGGGAAACGGCCCTACTGACACCTCTGGGATGACCTTAAAGATCACGGAGAAAATGACTGGCACCCTCTCCATCACACACACAAGTAGCACAGAGACTAGCTTGGAGAGAAGTTCAATAAACTTCTGAATGAACTATTGACTCTAATTTGTGTGGTTGCCGGGCAAAGTGCGAAAGACAAAGGGAACTATGTTGCAGCTCTTTGCCTTGGGCTCTGGGTCATAGACTCACACATGACCATTCATAATGGAAGGTAAGCTGGTGTTTCAGCTATTTACTGCTGAAGTAAGCAAGTCAAACTTATTTTTAAAGTGATTTCATATTTCTCCTGGCTCTGCCCTCTGGGCTGGGCTCAGCTGGGTGGTTCTTCCGCCCTACCTGGTATCTCCTGTGGTGGAAGGTGAGTGAAGAGAGCGTCTTCTCTCACATTTCTAGGGCTTCAGCTGGAATGGCTGGAAAAGGGGGCTGGCTGGGCTCACTTGTCCCTCTGTGTGGTCTCTTCTCTTCATCATGGTAGCTGGACCTCTTTACAGAGTAACTCAAGACCTTAAGAGACAGTGTCCCAAGAGGACAGACCCCAGCATTCAAGTACTTACCAAGGATCTGTGCCCAGCACACTTGCTACCGTACCATTGGCCAAAGCAAGTCACATGGCCAATCCCGGAATTTACACTTGAGGGACCACAAAGGGGCTGATGTTCATTGGAGACCACTGATGTACTGAACCACCACAACCAGGAAGAGTACTGCATACAGGAGTAAATAAACTGCCATGGATCACCCAGGAGGAAGCTATCCATTCGGCTGTGAAGATGCCATGAAGGATTTCACTCGTTCATTCATTTAACAAGTATTTCTTGAATGTGCAGATGCTGGGGATTCAGTTTGGACACATTAGGTGAGCTCTTGCTTCTGTGGGGTATCAAATAACCTATACACAGATAAGACAATTTCAGATGATGACAAGTGCTGTAAAGAAAATAAAATAGCCCGATAGGACAGAGAGTGAGCAGGGGTTGAGGGGTGGATGCTTTAGCTATGGGGGTCAGGAGAGGCCTTCCTTGCAGCAGGTAGCTTAGCTGAGACTTAGATGATGAGGGGGAGCCAGGCTTGTGGAGATCTGGGTCAGAATGTTCTAGCAGGAGGGAACCAAGGGCAAAGGAAGGAGCAGGAATACACCTTGACTAAGACTCAGCTTGACGTGTTTCTTCTTGACAGAAGAAAGGCCAGGGTGGCTGGAATATAAAAGAAGGGAGGGAAGGTCAGAGGACGCAGGCCAGGCCTTGCTGAGCCTCTGGGTGCAGCCCAGAAGTATTGCTTGAGTGTCAGGAGCTGCGACCTGTAGTTCCTTGTAGGCCTGCCCCTTTCCTGTGCTCCTCTGCATTTCCAGAAGCATTCTAAGAAGCTCGCTAGATCTGGGAACTGCCAGAAGGTCAGGGGAGCTCAGAAGGAAGCTAAAAAAATATCCTAGCATTTGAGGGCTAGCATCCCTGTGCTGGAAGTGGAGACACCATGCAAAAGCTCCTGCCACCACCGTCTTACACACAGACATGCTGCCTTGACACAGATTCCGGGTCCCTGTTGCCCATTTCTAATTATAACCAACATTTGTTTTCACATGTATCATCCCACGTAATCCTCACGTCCAGCTAGAGAGAGACGGTCCAAGGAAGTAAACATTTGAGCAACTTTTGTGCTAAATCTTGTGCTAAGCCATTCTGCGCATGATCTCAGTTTACCTTCCCCACAAGCCTGTGCAGGCTTTACGACTATCTCCATCTCGCTGTGGAGGATATAGGCTCAGAGTCACACAAGAAAGAGCAGCGCTGCAATTCCAACCTGAGTCCTTTGATGCCGAGTCACAGGCTCCACCCCCTGCAGCTCTTGCTGTCTCCTAGCAGGGCCTGCCCTGGGCAGGTGTCCAGGTTGCGCATTCTCCAAGAGCTCCATCTCCATACAAGGACCTTCGTGAAAAGAAGGATTAAAAAAAAAAATGTATTTTGTTTAATCGTATTACCCTGAATTTGCCTTCCTTTATCAAACCAGTGCACCTGTGGTATACCATGAGCAGATATATAGTGAGAGACTATTACACAATATGTGTAAAAATTTCCCTGTGTATTTACTGTACTTTTTCAAATAAACAGTTGGAGCTGTTGCTTTAAAGCAAGCTGCATGGCACAGCCAAAAACAAAAAGCAAAAAAATAAAATAAACTTATCCTTTTTCCTGACTTTAAAATATATCTCTATATTCCAAAAAGGAAATATATGTATCTCCATCCATATATATGTATATATAATTCTGTAGTCATCTTTAGGATAGCACTATTACAAATGCAAATGTATTGAAAGTGTTAATTATCTAAATATTTAAAATATATCACGATTTTGAATACCAATTTGATATTTCTTCATATTCTAAAACCAAATTAGAAGTGGCTGGAGCCTCTCTCAACCCGAGAGGCCCCCTGATCCAGCTGATTTGAACCATATCAGGTCTTGGATTGAGTTTGCTTTTGAAACTGCAGGGAAAGTGACCTGCTTGGGTCACGTTCAATCTGCAGTCCGTGTTTAGACATGGCACAAACATCCTCCGCGAGCTTGGCGGAGATTGCCAGGGAAGTCCCGGGCCTCCTTCCTGGAACATCAGCTTCAGACCTGCTCCGGTGTCCCCTCCATGTGTCGGACCCAGCACCCCCCCTGCCCAGGGCGGGGCTGGAACCGGGGGTGAATCACCCTCACTGAAGCTGGAGCCGGATCACATCTCCACATGGTCTCTGATTTGCTTTCCAAAGGTCAGCAGCTTGAGGTAATGTGTTTCAGGGACGACCCGATCAGCTAGAATTTAAAACAGAGACTTTTTATAATTGGAAAAAGAACATAGAGCCTCTGGCAACTGGGAAAACACAAATTAAAAGTTTTTCCCTCTACTCTTTTTTTTAATTAATTAATTTTTATTGAAGTATAGTTGATATACAGCTATACAGGTATACAGCAAAGTGATTCAGTTATACATACATATATATCTATTTTTTCAGCTTCTCCGTTATAGGTTATTACAAAATATTGAGTAGAGTTCACTGTGCTGTACAGAATGTCTTTGTTGGTTATCTAATGTATATATAGTAGTGTGTATATGTTAATCCCAAACTCCTAATTTATCCCTCTCCCAGCTTTCCCCTTTGGTAGCAAAAATTTGTTTTTTATGTCTGTGGGTCTATTTCTGTTTTGTATATAAGTTCCTTTGTATTATTATTTTTTAGGTTCCACAAATAGGTGATATCATATGCTATTTGTCTTTCTCTGTCTGCTTGCTTCACTTAGTGTATGATCATCTCCAGGTCCATCCACGTTGCTGCGAAGGGCTTCCCCCCTACTCTTGATTTGTATTTTTTGCAGTATAACAGTAAAGGAAATAGAAATTAGAAACCTCAACCATCCAAGCCTTCTTCTTTCTAGTCCTTGTCCGTATAGGGGTTTGGGTTGACAAAGCTGATAACATTTGTTTCTTCTTTTCTTCTAATGTCACTGATTCCAGAAAAGAGTACCTAGCTTCTCAGAGGGGAGGAGTTACTTTTTGTCCTAAGATGCTGTAACATTACATAAAGTTTGGGGAAATGGAAAACAATTATTCATAAGCCTGCCATCTTTACTGAACCACTTCAGGTTTTGCATTTTCTATCTATACTTTGTTCACTGCGTCCATATTTTGCATATTTTACATAATAGAACTATTTTGGTTATTGCCCGGAAGCATTCACAGGTTTAAAAAAAAAGAATACCTACTCCTACACTCTACAAAACTCTAAAAACCTGTTTTGAGTTCTCCTTACCAGTCCTTATCCACATGCATATTTCATTTTTCCAGTTGTAATTGAAGCATGAATTCAATTTAATATTTTTATCCTATTTTATATTATAAAACATTTAATGATTCCTTATACTCGTTATCATTTTTTTCTGAAATTTTCTTTCAGACTTGAAAGAATTACAAAGGTAATTCATGCTTATTTTTTACAATTGAAATCATTCAAAATTTTGTGAAAGAAAAATTATGTCTACCCCACACCCTACTCTAATTCCATCCCCTGAAGTAATAAATAAATATTAACAGCCTGAAGTGCTCAATCCATATTTTTTCCTCTATCTTTCAGATATAAACGATATATCAAAAAATATACACTTATTTTTACAAAAATGGAATACTATGCACATTTCTTGACACCTCACTTTTTTTTTTTTAACCATAGCATGCATATTCCTCAAGGCCGACAGATACTAATTTAACTTATTCTTTGAAGTGGGTTTATAATATTTTACATTAAGGATCTATTGTAATATATTATATTTTCCTGATGATAAACATTCCTATCAGTTCCAGTTTTTTTGCCTCTAAAAACAGTACTGCAATAAAACATCCATCTACGTATATTCTTCTATACTGGTACATTGGGACTTCCCTGGCGGTCCAGTGGTTAAGATGTCACCTCCCAGTGCAGGGGGTGCCGGTTCAATCCCTGGTTGGGGAGCTAAGATCCCACATGCCTTGCGGCCAAAAAATCAAAACATAAAACAGCAGCAATATTTTAACAAATTCAATAAAGACTTCAAAAAAAAAAAGATATACTGGTACTTTTATATCTGCGAGCCTGATTCTCCAAAATGGGATTTGCAAGGTCAGAAAACATATTTATTTGTATTTTTAAATTTTTTAATCAACTTTTTGCAGATACCATGTTCATGCAATAAAATGCTCCCCTTTTTTTTTTTTTTTTCGGTACGCGAGCCTCTCACTGCCGTGGCCTCTCCCGTTGCGGAGCACAGGCTCCGGACGCGCAGGCTCAACGGCCGTGGCGCACGAGCCCAGCCACTGCGCAGCATGCGGGATCCTCTCGAACTGGGGCACGAACCGGTGTTCCCTGTATCGGCAGGCGGACTCTCAACCACTGCGCCACCAGGGAAACCCAAAATGCTCCCCTTTTCAGTGTATGAGTCAGTGAGTTTTGACAAGCGTATTCACCAGTATCACCACCAACACAACCCAGATACACAACTTTGTACCCCGCAAGCTCCTTGCACCTTCGCAGGAGAGCCTTTCCCCCACTGCCCATGCAGTTTCCCATTTCCTGGGACTTCATGTACCTGGGATCACTTAGTGTGTAGCTGCCCGGGTTTGGCTCTTTCACTTGGCCCTACAACCTGGACATTCATCCACCTCGTGGCTCATCTAGGAAGTTTCTTCCTTTATGCTGCCGAGTGTAATTTTGAGAGAACCGTTACTTTCCAAAGAGGTCATAGCTGGCCACATTCCTACCAGCAATGAACAGGAATGTCTTTTTCCCTGAATCTTTGCAAGCACTGGGTGTTCTCATTCTTTTCAGTTTTTGCCAATTCCACAGATGAAAATGAGTATCTCATTATTGCCTGAGTTTGCATTTCGCCGACTGCCGAGCTTGTGCTTCTTGGATTTCCTCTTTTATGAATTGTCTGTACAGATCATTTACCTATTTTTCTATTGGATTTTGATTTCTAGCAATTCTTTGTTTACTAAAGATGTTAACCTTTGTTGTAGATATTATCATTTTTCCCCTGATCTGTCCTTTGTCTTCTAACTTTTTAAGTGTTTTTTGGTCATAAAACTTAAAATTTCAAGTAGTCAAATATGAGAATCTTTGCTTTTATAGCTTCTGGGTTCCCTGATAAGCATAATGTCTATGTACTTTCATGTTCTGTTTCTTCATTTAAGACGTAAGCATTTCTCATGCATTACAGTCCTCAAAATTATAATTGTTAGCTCCTGGGTTCCCTGATAAGCATAATGTCTATGTACTTTCGTGTTCTGTTTCTTCACTTAAGACGTAAGCATTTCTCATGCATTACAGTCCTCAAAATTATAATTGTTAATGGCTGCACAATATCGCATCCAGAGATAGCCCATAAGTTAATGGAAATTATTCTTCTCTTGGATACTCGATTTTTCACTTTTTAGTGAAACATCTTTGTGCACATGCCTTTTTCTAGTTGTTAATTTAATTACTTTCAACAAATTCCCAAGAGTAACGCCCTAGGTTTTGAATGTATTATGTGGTTTTTTTTTTTTTTTTTTTTTTTTGGGTTGCGCCATGCGGCTTGCAGGATCCTAGTTCCACAATCAGGGATTGAACCCAGGCCCTCGGCAGGGGAAGTGCAGAGTCCTAACCACTGGACTGCCCGGCATTACCCATTAGGTCTTTTATAAAATATATCAGTAATCTAGAGAAATACTGGCACAGCATCATTAATGATTTCATATTTGAGTGTAAAACGGGGCTAATAATAGACCTAGAGGGTCAAGGGATGACACAGCAGCCCCATGTGTGCCTAGAACCCTCTGCTGCCTGGTTTGTGGTAGAAAAAAACCAGAAACGATGTTACCTGCTCTAGGCATCCCCATACCTCATTTAGGGGTCCCGTCTCTCCCCTCGCCCCGCTCCCACCTCCTCTTTACAGCTGCGTAAACGAACTCGGAGCTGAGTGGGTAGAGCCAGGACTGGATCCCAGCTCTGAACTGACTCCAAAGCCTGGTCCTCGGGCTGTGTCCGTGAATAGAGTAATGTTTGTAGAGCACAGATCTCGTTACAGTTTACAAAGGCCCTTTCACAGCCATTAACTACGGGATTCCCTCCCTGCTTTTCTCAGCCCAGTGAATACCTTCTCATTCTTCAAGACACAGGGGAAATATCTCCTCCTCCGAGCAGTCTTCCCTCATTCTCTCGGGATGGTCTTACCATTTACACACTGTATTTTAGTTTGTCCTTTACAGCAGTCCCTCTGACTACGCCCGGCTCCTCTGGCCCAGTGGGTCTCTCTGGAGGAGGGCAGGAAGTGCCTTTGCAGGTGGCGTCTCAGGAGGGGTCCAGCGTGGTGAGATCAGCTTGGTGGCAGGATGGAGGTGGGCGATGGAGCTGGGAAGGCTGGCTGGCGCTGGGTCACTGAGAACCTTGCTTGCCACACAACAGGCTGGACTCTGTCCCCGGGTCAGTATGGAGCCGGTGGAGGGGCTTAAATATGACTCCACTTGAGTGAGTGGTGGTTGTGTGCAGGCTGGTGACGGTGAGGGCCTAGCAGAGGCAGCTGGGCTGAAAGAAAAGGAAGGGTCTGGATTGCAGAGAAAACCTGGATTTTTTTTTTTAACATCTTTATTGGAGTATAATTGCTTTACAATGGTGTGTTAGTTTCTGCTTTATAACAAAGTGAATCAGTTATACATATACATATGTTCCCATATCTCTTCCCTCTTGCGTCTCCCTCCCTCCCACCCTCCCTATCCCACCCCTCTAGGTGGTCACAAAGCACCGAGCTGATCTCCCTGTGCTATGCGGCTGCTTCCCACTAGCTATTTTACGTTTGGTAGTGTATATATGTCCATGCCACTCTCTCACTTTGTCCCAGCTTACCCTTCCCCCCTCCCTGTATCCTCAAGTCTGTTCTCTAGTAGGTCTGGTCTTTATTCCCGTCTTGCCCCTAGGTTCGTCATGACCTTTTTTTTTTCTTAGATTCCATATATATGTGTTAGCATACAGTATTTGTTTTTCTCTTTCTGACTTACTTCACTCTGTATGACAGACTCTAGGTCCATCCACCTCACTACAAATAACTCAATTTCGTTTCTTTTTATGGCTGAGTAATATTCCATTGTATATATGTGCCACATCTTCTTAATCCATTCATCTGTTCATGGACACTTAGGTTGCTTCCATGTCCTGGCTATTGCAAATCGAGCTGCAGTGAACATTTTGGTACATGACTCTTTTTGAATTATGGTTTTCTCAGGGTATATGCCCAGTAGTGAGATTGCTGGGTCGTATGGTAGTTCTATTTTTAGTTTTTTAAGGAACC